GCTTCCATGGAAGATCTAGAAACAACGTCTTGTTTCTTGCTCTTCCATTAAATTAGAGACTCTCCAAGAAACAAGAAAAATCCAATGGTGGATTTATGATCATGACTATCAACATCGCAATAAACATCACTGTAGGAAGGTAACTCAAGAGATGATGTCGAGGGAAACAAGGGGGTCTAGAACTGAGTGCCATGAAGATATCTCAAAATATGCAGTACAGCCCCCCAATGAAAAAAGGTGGGAGTGGTAACGAACGGACTGACAATAAGAACAACATGAGCAATATCCGGACGAGTAACTGTGAGATAAACCAAACATCCCACAATATTCCAGTAAAGATTCAAATCGGACAAAGGAACATCATCAATAGGAGAGTGATGTGTATTGGTTTCAAGAGGAGTATCTACACTCCGATTGTCAGAGAGGCTCGCCCGTGTAAACAAGTCAGATATATATATATATATATATATATATATATATATATATATATATATATATATATATATATATATATATATATATATATATAGTCTGAGAAAGAAGATAACCTTTCTTAGATTGAGCTACCTCAATACCCAAGAAATAATGTAGCAATCCCAAATCCTTCATAGCAAATCGATGAGCTAGATCATGCTTCAAAGACTCAATACCACCATGGTCATCACCAGTAATAATCATGTCATCCATATATAAGGACAAAAGAATATGTCCTAAACTCATGCTTCTAATAAACAGAACCGAATCATGATTACTCTGGACATATCCAAGAGAGTTAAACATTGTGGAAAATTTCTCAAAACAAGCACGAGGTGCTTGCTTAAGACCATACAATGCTTTGCAAAGCCGATAAACTTCACCCAACTGGTGATGAACACCTGGGAGGATACATATAAACCTCCTCATGGAGGTCGCCATTTAAAAAAGCATTCTTGACATCCATTTGAAAGATCTTCCACTATCGCACGGATGCAACCACAGTCATAATACGGACTGTTGTCATCTTTGCCACTGGGGCAAAGGTCTCCTCATAGTCAAAACCAAACTGTTGGGAATACCCTTTTGCTACAAGTCTGGCCTTATACTGCTCAACAGACCCATCAATTTTAGTTTTTATCTTGTACACCCAATGACAACCAATCATATGTTTCCCAGGAGTAAGGGAAACCAAATCCCATGTATAAGTCTGATAAAGAGCAGTGAGTTCCTCAGCCATAACATTATACCAAAGAGAATCTAATACTGCCTCTCTGTACGATTCAGGTTCAGACAGATGGTGGATGTTGGCTATAAATGAAGTAAATGATCCGGAGTATGTAGAGTAAACAAAACGTGGAAGCTTGGTGGTTTTGATAAGACGAGTAAACCTCCTGGGGGGTGGTAAAGGCGGGTCTTTAATCTCAACAGTCGAAGGGGCAGACTTAGGAACAGGAGGAGTCGAGGAACTCTCTAAAGAAGTGGGTGTTTCATGAACTGGAGGATCAGGCGGCATAGATGAATCTCGAGCCTCTATATCCACATCAAAAGGATCAATATGTAGAAGATCTGACTTTGTTACATTGTAGGTTGTAGCAGGAATCTATTAGAAAGGAATATGTTCCAAAAAAGTGACATGTCGGGAAACATATAACTTCTGAATCACAAGATCATTGCAATGATATCCTTTCTATCCAAAACCATACCCCAAAAATACACAAATAGCAAATTTTGGCCCCAACTTGTTCCTCTCAACATGAGGACGAACAACAAAACAAGTACATCCAAAGACTCATAGAGCAGAGTAGTCTGGTAGGTGACCGTATAGGTTCTCAAAATGAGACATTACTAATTCAATGCAGTAGGGATACAATTAATCACATAAACAACAGTTAAGACTGCTTCTCCCAAAAAGGCACTGGGGACCTGCACAGACAAGAACAATGAGCGGGCTATCTCAATAATATGATGGTTTTTCCATTCTGCCACACTGTTTTGCTGCGGAGTATCGGTACACAATGAATGGTGTATGATACCATCATAAGCGAGTAACTGAGTAAAATCATTAGAGGTATATTCACCCCCTATGTCACACTTGAAGCACTTTATCACATCCGAATGTTGAGTTTTAACACGGGCTCTAAAATTCTTGTAAATGCCAAGGAAATCAGATCTACGTTTCATAAGATAAACCTAGGTATAGAGAGTATATACATCTATAAAAGATACATAATAGGTTTAACCACCCTTTGTGGATACTGGTGCAGGACCCCACACATCAAAATGAATAATATCAAAAGGAGCAATAGAACAAGACATATGTTTACTGAAAAGTAAATCAGAGAATTTTTCCAGTTTACAACCACTACAATTAGAAATATCACAAGTGTTCAAATGACCTAAAACACTACTAGATGCTAGAAAATTCAAACATAATACAAACACATGTCCCAAACGAGAATGCCAAAGATAAAATTGAGACGACAAAGGACTCAAACAAAAAGAAGACAAATCAATGATGGAGGAAGCAACATCAGACACCTTGAGAACCTCCAAGGCATAAAGTTCTCCCACCATAGGGTCAATCCTAATAACCTTCTAGATGTGTTGGTCCTATATAATACATATGAAATCAATAAAGAACACCTAATTACCAGACTTACTGGATGACCGAAGGAAGATTCAAAGTAAGTTTGGGAATGTAATAAACATCAGGGAGAGAAATATGAGGGACAGAAACAGACCCAACACCCTCAACTGTCATAGATGTATCACTAGCAAACATATCATATATAGATGACATGTGTGACAAAGAAGTAAACGATGAAAAATAAGGAGACAAGTGATGGATTGCACCAGGATCTAAAATCCACAAAGATGAAGGTATACTTGAGGTACCGGATGAAGTAGGACCAGAATGAGACATAGATGCAGACATGACAGTAAAATTGGAGGCAAAATATTGTCTGAAATAGAAACAGCAACAACATGGAACTGTGGAGGGTGAGGTGTCCATGGAGGAGCACCAGAGGAACATGGCTGAAACTTCTACTGACCAGACCTATGTCGTTGTCCCGACTGAGTCAAAATAGATTTACCCTTGTTAACTAACAATGGACACTGAGCTTTCCAGTGATATTTTTTGTTTGTAGAAGGCACACTCATCATAAGCAAACCTTGGAGTTTGTCGATACTGATTAGTGGAAACAACAAGCACAACGGGAGTGGAAATAGGAGTGGAGATTGCTTTAGACCCTTTATTCGCTTGAGACTTGATACGAGTTTCTTCAGCAATCAGCTCATGAACAACAAAATCCACTGAGGGATGGGGGATTGATGAAGAATCGTTCCACGTATGCCTTCAATATCAAAACACAACGCCGTAAAAAATTGAACAAATGTTGTTCTTACCTCATAGCAATATAAGGCTCAAATTCTTTTAACTCTTTAGATTCAGTAAGAGCCAATTGATCCCACAAATCAGACATGACAGCATAGAAATCTTGGATACTCATATCATTTTGTTGAAGGGCACATATGTCATATTATAACTGATACTGTTTAACAAAGTTGGATTAAGTATACAGTCTCTCCAAATTATTCCAAACTTCCTTTGTTGTGTCATATTTAGCCAATTACATACCAATAGACCGTGTAAAAGAATTGTTAATCCAATTAATGACCTTGGAGTTATCAGTCTCCCAAGTATCAACCAACAAATCGAAATTCTCAGCTTGAGGTATTGAAGGTTTGGCTTTAACCGTAGTGACATATCCCCATATATTCTTCCCACGAAGGAAGTTCTTCATAACATAGCTCCAATACGTGTAATTCTTTCCATCTAATCGAGTATTGATTGATTGAAGGGAATCATCGTTTCCAGTCATGTTAGCAACAGATAACCACAACAAGAACAACAATAATAGACAAACAATCAGAGAACAAGAACAACAACAAACCAACGGAAGCAGCAAACCGAATAAACAGAAGTCAAATAGCATAAATCAAACCATTAGAAATCAAACCATCAGAAGCAGCAAACGAATCAACAATGGCAGACGAACAGATGACTGCTACAAAACCTTCTAACAACAATATCAAACCTCCGCTCTGATACCATGATAATAGAACCACATCATTATTTAAAGAGATAGATTACAAGTGTTCTTGATAGAAAAGCTTAGAGCTACAAACAAGAAGAAGAATATTAAATACTAGCAAGAACCAAACCCTAAAGGGTTAAAGACTAAAAAAGTCCATAAACATATGGGCTAATAGATAACTTCAAATATATTACATGCTATAAGCAATGTATTAGAGTTAAGGTTGCAATTGGCTAACAAAATATTACAATGAATGGTAGTAGACTTTTTTAGCATACTTTTTTTTTATATATCTAGTATCCCTAATCTATACCATTGTGACATACTATAGAAAGGGTATGAGTTTTGATTTTATGTAAATTTGCTATTAGACAAAGACTATTTTTATAACTTTGTGAAACACACTATTTTATAGCTTTGCATAAGCTGGGACCATTTAAATTAATACATAAGGGTTTAATCGTCAAATAATCAAATGAAGGGATTAAGTGTCGAACAAAAAGCTAAAATGAAGCATAATTTAAATAAAACTAAAATACATCTAAATGATGAAATATTAGGGGTTAGATTTGTAACTATTCAAAACACCAAAAATAAAGGAATCAAGTGTTGGATGGTTTGTCATTAAAGGAGAAGAGTCCATAGACCATTTTTGTAATTTGAAACGAGTAATTTGGATGATAAGGTTTACCATTTTTTTTTAAAAAAAAAAAAAGACATGAATGGTTGTGAATAAAGGAAAAGAGTCTGTACAGTTTCTCTGTAACCTGGATTCCATGATTCAACAAATACGACCGCCATACAATTGCACTAAATAAACAGCCAAATAAACGACAGCAAGATAGAAAACTCTTTAATGAATAGCGACAATTGTATATATTCATAATTGGTTAAAGAATTATAGATTTTTAAATACTCAAATAATTAATTATCTGTATAACTTTAAACAATAAAATGCTATCTTTTACAGCCTGATTTGTTACAAATATACTCACAAATATAATGAAGCTGAGTTCTACTACCCTTTTTAAACACTTATGCCCCTTCCCTCTCAACTCCACACACCCACAATCACAACAAAATGTTCAAATCATAAGTCATAACCATTTTCCTTTTGAATAATATACACATTTCATCCCATTAATTTCCATTTCAACAAAAGGGCAAATCGGTCATTTCACTTGACGGATTTCTTCTCGGTCGTCACCCCAACCACAACATTGCTTACCAGTTTCCCGCTCTCATCAACAGACATCGGGTTTTCAACTACTACTGTTTGGTTATAAGAATGAGGCACTTCCTGCAAGAAATTATATAAAAAAATACATGTAACATATACAAAAGAAAAAAAAAAGATATTTGTGTATTATGACAAAAAAAAAAAAAAAAACTCACTGATGCTGATGTGGCTGCAGGAACCCTTCCATTTCCCATCTAAACCAGTATGATAATAACTTATAAGTATCAAATTTAAAACAATAAATCCAAAAAAAAAATGGTGAATTATATTACTCACATTGGCATTTGTAATGTAATGACAAACTGCACATTTAACTGATGGAGCACCAGATGGATACATCAACATTGTGCGACAATTTCCACAATTTACATGAGCAAGCTGATTGGAAACTATTAATGCAAAAACAAAAAAACAAAATTATAAAAACATTTTATTTGAAATGAAGATCAATTGCATAATAAAATTAGGAAAGGTTAAATACAAAGACTATGAAAGACAACTGTAAATAGGAAAGTTATCTAGGGTTAACCTGGTGCAAGATTGACAGTGTGACAACAAGAGCATCTGACACTTGTAGCACCACGTGCATACATCAGCAATGTGCGACAACCTCCACAGATCAATTGGGCCATCTCCATTCCTGAAACTTGTAAAATGATTACAAGTATTAGATTACATAAATTAGATCATTAATGAACTTGATCAGTTTGTTAGTTTTCTAATGAAGTTCATTGAGATTCAGAACCCAATTACATTACACAACTTTATATAGATCTTTTTAGGTTGAAAGCACAATGTAAGCTACTACATATGAAGCTATTTTTCTATAAACACAAGTGATGATTTCATGAAACAGGTATGATAGTCTTCAATCATTCCTTATGTAAGAATTTAAGTTTCAGATGAGTCATACCAGGAGGGGGAGATGAAGTAACTGCATTACACAATGCACAACATACGTTTGAAGCTCCTCTTGGATATAGTAAGATGCTTCTACACCCACTGCAAACTATTTGGCTCTGCATATTTCTCTGCAGTTCAAACAGGCGAATGAAAGCTCAACTTTATCTATGAGGTCCACCGAAACCCTAAAATTCCACAAAATCGAAACAATTAGGGCTTCGATTACAACATATCGAAAGGAAGTTAAGAATTACCATCAAGTATAGAAACCGAATTTACACCACGAAAAGGAGTTCGATGAAACTAGATAGAATTGAAAATTACCTGGATTAAATGATGATGAGATCTGAGGGGAATTTCTCGTTGGGTTGTCGGTAGATTCAATTGCAAACTTTGTCGAAGGAATTTATTGGGCATCAAGGAGCATTGTTGAGGAGGATAATCGGCTTCAACGACACTGAAAAGAGGGAAAGAAACAGATTGGATTTGTTGGAATAACAGACATTTTTTCGATATGCATAATTATTTTTTAAAGCAAAAAGGTTTTTTTTTTTTTTTTTTTTTTTTTTTTTTTTAATCAGACGAGCATATGCTGTCTACCCGGAGACCCTATTTGTAATTATTTTTTTCATTTTGTTTTGATTATATTTGAGAACTTTTTTTTTAAACAACGACAAATTTTTGAAAGTATTCATATACCACTATTGGGAAATCTTCAGAAAAGTCTCAATATTTTCGGAAAAGTTACAGTTTAGTCCCAAGATTTTTTTTTTGAACGAAAAAGTCCTGAAAACCGGCAAAAATTTGCAGTTTGACCATTTTTGACCGGTTGAAACCGGTACCAAATTAATTTGGGACTATTTCATAAACTAACCCAAAATATTGGGACTTTTCTGTAAACAAAAAATATTAGGATTTTTCTGTAAACGAAAATATTAGGACTTTTCTACAAACAAAACCCTTATTATTATTATTATTATTATTATTATTATTATTATTATTAAAAATATAAATAAGAATTCTATTTTTTGAAATTGTTATTATTAATATTTGTTACTAATACATATAAATGCATTTAAATGAAAAAATAATATTAATGACATTTTTTAATGGTGGAGGTGGAGGAGATGGTAATGTTTTTAGCATTGAAATCATGAATGTTTACTTGTATATTTTTACTTTGTATATGGTCATTTCACTTTTGTTATTATTGTTTTCAGTTCAGAATAATAATACTTAACAATTTAAAAGAAGTTGCATATTTGTAAAATTGTTTATAAATAGTTTAAGGTAGAATGATTTCTCACTTTGTATATAAAAATGTTTAAGGTAGAAGGATTACTTTCCAAATTCAACAGATCCACTACAAACATCTACATAGGTAGCCCATATCAAAATTCAAAAATATTAATTACAATATCTTGCTTGATAAAAAGTAATAGGATATGTTTTTTGGATTAATACTTTTGAATTTTGATTAATACTTTTGAATTGTTCCTATTACTTTTTATTAAAACAAGATATTGTAATTAATACTTTTGAATTTTGATATGGGTTACCTATGTAGATGTTTGTAGTGGATTTGTTGGATTTGGAAAGTAATTCTTCTACCTTAGACAATTTTATATACAAAGTGAGAAACCCTTCTACCTTAAACTATTTATAAACAATTTTACAAATATGCAACTTGTTTTAAATTGTTAAGTATTAATATTCTGAATTGAAAACAATAATAACAAATGTGAAATGACCATATCCAAGTAAAAATATACAAGCATACATTCACGATTTCAATGCTAAAAGCGTCACCATCTCCTCCACCTCCACACTTAAACAATGTCATTAGTATTATTTTTTTATTTAAATGCATTTATGTGTATTAGTAACAATATTGATAATAACAAGTTCACAAAATAGTATTCTTATTTATATTTTTAATAATAATAGTAATAATAATAATAATAATAATAATAATAATAAGGGTTTTGTTCCTAATATTTTTGTTTACAGAAAAATCCTAATATTTTTTGTTTACAGAAAAGTCCCAATATTTTGGGTTAGTTTACGAAATAGTCCCAAATTAATTTGGTACCAGTTTCAACCGCTCAAAAAGGGTCAAACTGCAAATTTTTGCAGGTTTTCAGGACTTTTTTGTTTAAAAAAAAATCTTGGGACTAAAGTGTAACTTTTCCGAAAATATTTGGACTTTTTCTGAAGATTTCCCTACCACTATTATAACTGGATGTAACAAACTATAAACAGTCATAATTATTATATATATATATATATATATATATATATATATTATATATATATATATATATATATATATATATAAACATTTTTAACAAGTTTGTTACCTAGATGTGTAAAAAAAACGAAGTTACTGAGATATGAACAAAACGAAAAGATAATTACCCTGATAAATCAATTTCCGTTTTTATTAAGGCGATCGATCATAATATTTGCAATATTAATAGATTCGGTTAAATTTCCGTAAAACAATATTTATGACCATTTATGAGCATATAAAATGGTCACAGAATGTTGAGTCGTTTTTGATAGAATAATTATCAAATAACTTTATATATACGAGACAAGAGCAATACTATCAATGTAGATAAAAATTATTTCTATTTTTTGTATTTTAAATTACTATAATACATTGAGCAAACTTCATTGAAAATTGTGTTTCATTTCATGTTATTGGTCTCTATCTCTAGTAAATTTTAATTTTCATATTTAATATCTTAAACAATAAAATTCTATAAAATGACCATGTTTTATGGAGTTTTTTTTTGTTACCAAAATAGTGTATTTTAAAAAGATATTTACCAAAATGGTGTAGTTTTAAAAATATTTACCATTTAAGTTAAATTTTATACCAAATCAAAACTAAAACGTAAAATAAAAAAAAAAAGGAAAAACTGAATTATCAAGGTAATTACCTTTTCATTTTGTTCACATTTGGGTAACTTCTTTTTTTTGTACACATCTAGGTAATGAACTTGTTGGAAGTGTTCACATAGGATCATTATGACCAGTTGTAACTTGCTACAACCGATCATAATGGTCATATGTAAACACTTCCAACAAGTTTGTTTAGATGTGTAGAAAAATAAATGAAATTACTCAGTCAATAAAGTTGTCAAAATGGGAGGCATTATAGTAACTAAATCATAACCAAATTTTGAAAAATTATTGTAAATAAATAATAAATTTCACAAAATAATTTTTTGCAAAATTATCTAAATTAGTGGAATTACATGGTTGTTAAGATATTGATCTTACATGGTTGTTAATATCTTGATCTTAATATCATTTGATTTTAAGATCATGCAAAAGAAAAATGATCAAGATCGCACTAGGATCTATCTGAAGCAATATATATACTGAGATCTTAGGAGTTAGGATCCCGATTAGAATCTTAATATCTTAACCCAATCTGATTTCACGTCTTTAGTCATTATTAATTTATTATATAGTCGAGTTTTAAAAATTTACTTGTTCAACTTGAATCAAACATCACTGGTTGTAAGAAGTCTCACAGAGTACCACTTCATCCAAACATCTCGAGTTAGGCAATGCGTCGGGACACTCATGTTATTCCCTTTGTGATCTTATGCTTTTTAGTGTATATGTGTAACACCCGTGTTCCAGAAGGGTTCAGAGTAGGAGTCAAAAGCTTGGTTTTTAGGGAAAACCGGTGTCACGACGTGACCATGGAGAGGTCACGACGCGACAAACGAAAGTGACGAACGCGTATCGGGATTGTTGTCACGACGTGACACATAGGTTGTCACGACGTGATAAGGGTTGCAGCCCAAGCCCATAATCTTTTAGTGTTTTCTTCATATTTAAACCCCATAAACTCGGTTTTAGGGTTCATTATTAGCCTCCATCATCCTCAAACTCAGAAAACCCTAAACCTAGCCTCTCCTTGTAGTTCTTATCTCATTTTGGTACTTTTGGTAACTTGAAGAAGAAGAAGAAGAAGAATAAGTGTTCTAGAGTGTTGATTCAGCAAGGAAGCCTCATCATCATTGTTTTGTGCTCATTCTGGACCTTTATAAGTGTCCAAGACTCAACCTTTATGCTTCTAGGTTGATAGATCTAAGTCCTTGTCCCTTTATCTTCAAGCTTGAGCAAGTGGAAGTGATGGGATTCCATAAAGTTAGCAACTTTATGGATACTTGAATCCTGTTGAGTAGTATTTGGTTCAGATCTGGGATTTGGTTATGAATTGGGATCATTGCATGAGTTTGGAGTCATTTTCTTGGCCTTTGCCCTGGATTGGATTGAGGAGATGCATATCTATAAAGTTATCATTTTTATGGACCTTTGGGGTGTTGGGTTTTAAGTACTATAACACTCCTATGGTGCACATAAAACCCTATATGCTTTGGATCTAAGTTTTCTCTAATTATACATGTAATTTCATTTATCCAAAGCATACACCCTAGCTAGCATGCAATTGGAGATATACAACATAAAACAGGTTAGATGAATACCTCTTAGTGTAGCTTGTAGTTCTTGGCCTTTAAAATCTTTAGCACCTCAAATGTGATGCCTCTAATGTGTTACAAACACCAAATACAATAGGAGGCTTATGAGAGAGAGGCTAGAAAGCACCAAATCGGTTATGGTTCACCTTTAGAATGCACTAGCCGATTTTGGGGGGTTAAAGGGTTGCTTTTATAGTGTGGAAATCCTAGGGTTTCTTCCATGTAAACCCTAATTCACCATGACCCTTCATATTTCTTAGGCCCTTTTGGTTGAACCTTCATGGACTATCATATAGGTTTAGCCCATCCCTAATCAACATGGATCATTAGCCTAAACTATAAGTATTACTGATTTACTTAATCAGTCCCTATAAATTTAATCAGTCTCTTTTGATCACTAAATTAATTCCAAATTAATTCTTTGATCAATACTAATTAAATAATATGATTTCTCAATTAATATATTATTCATATAATATATTAATAAATCACAAACAACCTCTTTCTCAAAAGTCCATCCTATCAAATTACTCCGGTTAAGGCAACCCAAAAGGACCATGCTACTATCGGGTCAAGTACATACCAAGTATAGTTATGGGCTTAGACACCTAATCTAACAGCCTCCCACTTGGATAAGTCTAATAACTATAACTGCCAATGTAACTTCAAAACCGATTGACAATCGTAGCTCTCAAAAGCCGTTGTCGAACTCTGACCTAGTCAGTGACGCGTCCGTTAGATAAGGGATCATATAATCCTCTGTTCTACAAGATATCGTGTGGACAAAGACATGGAATAAGGTCATACTCATTGTCCAGCTGTTTGTTTCCCGATTTCTGATTCGTTTGACATAGAACTTAATTGAACACATCAATTGAGTCCTGACCGGGCCCGACACATAAGTCAAAATAAAATCATCGAGGGGCTCAAGATATCGCTTTTGATCCTCTTAGGATAAAAGGAACAGATAAACTTCGACTTATACGCTTGTACTAACTACTCGTTAAATCA